AGAGAGAGAGAGAGAGAGAGAGAGAAAGTGGTTTGGAGTGAACTACTCGTGTGAAGCAACCAGGAGTTCTTGTCGGGCAGGGAAGCCGGCCAAGACTCTGTGCACAAGCTAGTTTGCAACACGGATGGATAGTGGGAGCCCCAACTGGGAAAATTGTTATGTGGGTTGGTCCTTTATTGATGTCATTTTGTACTCTTTGGCGAGGCAGATCTGAGCAGGAGCGGTGGGATCTGCTGTTGTATATGTATGTGTAGCATTAGAAGACAAGAGACTTGCCTTGCCTTCTATGCTTTAGTTCTTGTTGGGGTGTCCACAAGAACCACTTGTCCCTGTCATCAATTCTTGCGCCACACTTCAGCAAATCTGGTATGGTAACGTTTAGTAATAACAGCGATTTGGAGAGGAGCATAATCGACTACAACTTTTGTTGAAATCTTCCTTTGGTTTAAGGCACAGATGCTTTTTATTATTACTTTCTTCAGTTCCGTGATAAGTGCTTGAGGAACTTACTGCAGTTCTGTGACTGTTTGGATAGTGATACGTAATAAGTGGTTAAATAAGTCTAATTCTTTTTTTTCCCTTTGTAACATGGCGGTATGTTAGTATATGATTTCAAGAACTTAGCCAACCCAGGTCTGCAAGGGGAGGTGCAGTAGCAAAGGAAGACTAAATGTGGGAAGCTAGTCCCTGCAGAAAAGGGGGAAAGTTCCTTTTCTTTGAGTGCACCTCAGAAAACCCGCCCCTCTTCTGGGGAGGTGGGGTTTGCTTGGTAGAGTGAGGTATCTGGTCCTTGCTTCTGCCTTCTAAAAAGGACCAGAACTCCTTGGGGGTGGTTGAGGATGCTGGGAGTTGTAGTGCAAGGAAGGAACCATCTCCCAGGTGTGCGCAAGACAGGGAGGTTGCTCTGGTCCTGCCACGGATCCGGTGGCCGCCGAGTCAGGGGGAGAGCCAACCCAGCTTTCCAGGACAAGCACTGTCTATAGGCTCCCCCCCTCCCCCGGGCAATAAACCTGAGAGCGCCCAAGCCAGCCTTTCACACAAGTTTGCGAATAAGGCAAAGAGCGCCAGGCGTGAGAGACAAACCTTGTTTCCTGGAGAAGAACCAGGCACCCGAGTCAAGTCAGGGACAAAACATAAAGGGGCGATGACAAAGACAGGAAGAATCCCCTGCGCCAGGGCTGGGCCGTCCTTTGCCGCCATTTGGGTTTGCTGGCCATAGCTGTAGGCAGCAAATTCCACCAAGCTAGTGTCATTTCCTGCCTCTTTTTCTATGTACCTTAAAATGCTTGTGTTTCTAAGCTTCCTTCTCAGCCCAGGGGTTATGTAGTGTCTTGGTGTGTTGATGGCCTCTTTGCAACACAGGACTATGCTAACGATCTATCAAGTATGCTGTGAGAAGTGAGGGTGTTGTCTAAGAACAAAGGGTGTTCTCTGTGAGTATTTATTGTGGGCGATACTATACCACCCATGAGTCATATTCCCAGCGAGACCAAGACGAGACGGAACTAAACAACTCAAATACACGCCTATCCACAGTAAACAAATCGATGATTTCTCTGCCACTTACAACATGAATCAATGAAAATGTCCTTAATTTGGAATGCATTCTAGAGAACGAAAGCACCCCCTTTTTTTGGGAGGGTAGCCCTGAGCCCATTTACTCAGAAGTAAATCAAACGCTCTTCCGTGTTCCCGGAGCCATGCACGTAGCGATGCAACGGAAATGCTTGAAATCAGTTGGCTTGTAAAATCTATATACTGTATTTCATGCTCTGGGATTGGGTGTGTTCCTCCAGCGTGGAGAGGCTGCCTGCGAAATTCCGGCCTCTTTCCTTCCCACCCTCCTGCCAGTAAATGCCACTTGGGTCCTGTAGCTAGTTTCTTTGGTGCAACTTTGAGTTGGTTGGAGAGACTTTTACAAAGCCGGGCCCTTCAGAGGAGGAGAGGCTCAGTCGATGGAGTCCGGATATTGGACGGTTGGACACTTTTCTGTACAGTTTGGGTCTGAGAGCTTTAATTTTGGCTGTGGAAGAGGCATCTCTCTCTCCCTCCCTCCCTCCCTCCCTCTCCATTCCCCCGACACCCACGCAAGGAAGTGGTTGCTGGGTGTGTGTGGTGTTTTTTCCCCTTTCCCCTTCTCAGAGGCAAAAAAAAGGAAGTCTAAAAGAGAGAGAGAGAGAGAGAACCTCTGTTCTCTGCCATTTCTCTCCGAGGCTGGCTCGGTCCTGCTGCCGTGGTTCATGTTGACTGCCCAGAGTCCATGAACTAGCCAGACCTTTTCGGCCCCCCCAGATCTAAGAGGCTAAAGATCAAGGGCTGTTGGGTTCCTTCCTTCAAGGTAAGTAGCCAAGATGCCCATGGCTAACAGGAGTCAATCCTGGCTCTGTCTTGCAGCTGGCCAGAGTCCAGATATTCTCCCCCCCCACCCCGTTCTCCTGGAAAGGAAATAGGACTGAACGTTTTGTATGAAACAGATGTTAATCTGCCTTTTTCTTTTTTCTTTTTTACTCCAAGTTCTGCTTTGTTTTGGTTTCTGCAGCTAAAACATTATCCGAGCGAGGGAAAAAAAAATCCTTTGGTTACTGCTTTGGTTTGGTTTTCTTGTTTTCGTTTTACTTTTAAATCCTTTCCCCTTCTGGACAGTGGGATCGGAAGATCTGCACGTAATGATCTAAACTTAAGTGTGATGTTTTGAAAACTTCACCCAATGGGCCAAGCTCAGAATTTGAGCGGGGTCAGAGCAATTTCTGCTGAGTTTGAGCCGTGGCACCTTCCTCTATCTGCCCGAGGATAATGATGATGTTGATGATGTGTAATCACAAAAGTTACTCCTTGGGACTACACTTTCTCAAATCCTGCCTGCAATTGTGAGCCCTGGCCAACGGGACTGGAGGAACAATATCTGTCTGTCTGTTTAGTGCTTATTTTAAACCTGGTGGAAGAAAGTTAGATTTTCCTCTGCCCAAGCCCAACAGAGTAAAGATTGATAGATTTATGATGACAAGAGTTTTGGTGGATTTGTGCTCACATAATTGGAGGCATCAAGTTTTATGTTCATCCATTTTGGAGAGTCTTTGAGCATAGACACATCTGTAAGCCTTCAAGATGCCCCCAGATTATTTTGCTTCATGCTTGCTGTGACAGATTAAGATGGTTTAAACTTCCATAAATTTTTCCTTAAATTTCTATACTTTGGGGGGTTTTTTGCTCATCAATGTTCCAGGCTCTAGTAAACCCGTGTTAGTTGAGAAATTTAGCAATCCTGTTTTTCTGCATTAAAATTGAGGGTGCACCGCTGTGTATTCAGACAAGAGTGCCTTCTGTGTCTGATGACTCGCCTTTGAAGGAGGCTTGTTGGAAGGAGAGCAGTAACTCCGACAGAGACATGGTGGGGAATCTCCTCTGAGAGGGAACCATTCTGCTGTATTTCTGCAGTCAGATGCTGCCCTCCAACGTGATGCAGAATTGTTTGTAGCAAAAGAGGATTGGCAGGAGAGAGTGCCAGCACAGTGTATCATTCAGGGCTGTGTCAGGCACCCTCCTCTTTGGCCTGACAGCAACTTTGGGCGATTCCATGCATTTCAAGTTTTCCCATTTGAGCCGCTTCTGGAGTCCTGGTTGAATGAGACCTGCTTTTTCTGAAACTCAAGTTTTGCTTGGGAGCCTGACAGCACAAAGCGACTCTCTCCATTTTGGAAGAAGAAAAGCCGGGCCCCATTTTGCCTGGCCTCGGTCAATTCCGGGAAGATGTTTTGCTCCTCTTGAGTCCCAAAACATGCCTTGCTGAATCACAACAAGGTTGTGCTTATATCTGGCCTGCAAAATTTGGAGACTCGGGCAATCTAGAGGCTAATTATAAGTTGGAGAAGTTCAAGTTAGGTTTGAAATCCAGACTAAACAACATTCTGCCACATCTGAGTATTTTGCTGCTTGACAAACGGTCATGATGACTGCGTAGAAAGCCTTTGTTGTGATTCCCACTTGAGACAGACACACAATGCTGTGGTTGAAAGATCTGTTTGGATTAGTATTCCTGTGGGGAAAAGCTGCTTTATTGTTATTTTTTCAATCCAGTGTATGAGTGAGTGTCTCTCCCACTTCCCTAAACAGAGGGAACATCTGGCTGTAGCAACATGAGGCAGAGCTTCGGGGAAGGTTACTTTCTTGGACTACAATTCCCAGAATCCTCTAGCCAGCCTAGCCACTGGTAGGAGACACCTTTAAAAAAAATAAATATGCCCCGCAGTTCTCTGGTTTCTGGGGTTCTTGACTCAGAGAGGGCTGGGAAGGGGAATGGATCACACAAGTGAAGTCAGCTTCTTTGTGCATTTTTAAAAGATTTGTTTGCTGACCCAAGACTCTTTGTGGCCTGAAGCACACAAGGCAAAACAGCTGCCCCTCCCTTCCGTTTACAGAAGCTGGCCAAATGAACCATCTTGGGCTTCAGTATGGCAGCCTCTACTTCAATGGACAGCCGCCGCCGTCTATCTGAGAGGGCGTACAGCAGGCGGCGTGGAGTATGCCTCTTCCCTCTAGCATCATGCACCAGAGGCAGCCACCCCACTCTGGCTAAGGGTAGGGCCGGCCCTGGTTAAGAAGGAAGGCTGGAAGAAGCTCAGCTCAAAAGCTCAGTCACTGGGTAGGCTTCTTCTAGCAGTGTTTCTCTGCCCAGCCCCTTTGACGGTCTCGGAGGAGTCCGTCTCGAACCTTATATGGTAGTCTCGGCCGTCTTTTGCTGAAGACGCCGTGTTTCCCCTTCCTCTTCCTCTGGTCCTGTGCACATGCCTGGATGGCGCCCATGCTAATTAGCTCGCTTGTCAGGCTGAAGTGCCTTGACTATTTCCCCCACTGTTGAATCTTCCTGCACTGTTGGTGTTTCTGTGTGTTTGGGGGAAGTGCAATAGAGGGCTAGGGAAACTGTGACTCCCCAGAAGGCGGGGAACTACATTTCCCACCATGCCTCACCTTTGGCCAGGCTGACTGGAGGCTATGGCAACTGAGCACCAGCACCATCTTCTAGACCACTGGTTCTTAACCTTTGTTAGTCAGATGTTTCTGGACTGCAACTCCCAGAAGCCTTTACCATCAGCTCTGCTGGCTGAGGTTTCTGGGAGTTGCAGTTCAAAAACATCCGAGTAACAAAGGATGGGAACCTAGGATCTAGACCACTGCTTCCCAACCTTGGGTCTCCGGATGTTCTTGGACTACAACTCCCAGAAAATCTGGCCGGCACAGAATGAAGTTAGGAATTTATTTATTTTTTACTCCTGTGCCCAGAATCTCCTATCAAGCACTGCCTGGGGGATTCTGGGTGTTGTAGTCCAAAACTTTAACTGTTCCAAACTTCTGGTCCCTGGTCCCAACCACTTTGATTCCCCCCCTCCCCTAGAAGATGGGCTCCCTCCTGCTTTTCAAGGAACCTCTCTTGCCAGTTAGGAGGTTAGTTAGAAACCTAAGAGAATCTGGAAAGTTTGACCCCCTTCTGGGGAAGAAAAAGGTCTTGCGGTTCCTGATTTTTGCCAATGCCCCATTTTCCATCCAAATCTTTGGTCCTTCTGCCGAGCTTGGATGTCACTGGATAGGAATAATGAATTATTTACAAATAAGTTCCATTTTCAATAAAGCAATGTTGCAACGATAACAGGATAGAAAGGAACTTTACCCCTTTTGGGTGGGTCCCTTGCAAAGGGGGTTATTTGTTTTTATAGTGGCCGGGGCGGTCTCATTTTTTATTTAAAATTATTTTATTGGACTTCTACCCCACCCATCTAAACCAAAGGTCTACTCTGGGCGCCATTCTTTCTGTGTACTTTCTCCCACATGTCAGCTATTTGCACTGTCCTGACTTTTAGTCCCGAAGGGAACGAAATAGTTACTTTTAAATAACAAGAAAGCAATATTCTGATGTGTGTATATTTTTTTAAATGGCAACATTTAGAATAACTAAGGATCTTTTTTGGTTACATTGTTACCATAATTGTCATCCCCATCATGTGCTATCAAGTCAGTTCCTCACTCATGGAGACCCTTTTTCAGAGTTTTTCCAGGTAGAAAAGTATGCAGAAGTGGTTTCCCATCCCCTTCCTCTAGGGGGCGCCCTGGGACTGAGCAGCTTGCCCAAGGCCACCCAGGCTGGCTCTTCTCCTGGGGATGCCCAGCGAAGAATCGAATTCCCAACCTCTGATACCTAAACCACCCAGCTATCCAGCCAGCATGCAATGACACCTAAACAATATTACGCCCAGCGAAGAATCGAACTCCCAACCTCTGATACCTAAACCACTCAGCTATCCAACCAGCATGCAATGACACCTAAACAATATTATTAGAAGTGCGCTGTGGGTTCCACCTGCCTGCAATTATAAATATTATTGCTATTCCCCCTGCCTCATTGTTTTTAAAATGCTAGCTATTTGTTTTGCCGTGGAGTTAAAAATACCGTATAATGGGTGAGGAGGACATTCCTTAAAGGCTGACGGCAAACCCTGGAACCGTTGAAAAATTCCGTTAATAAGGCAGGGCCGTTGCACTGCCATCTGAAAAACACTGTTTAATGTTGGAAGCGACAACTGGCTAAAGGACAGAAACCTTTGTTGGTTTCACTTCCTTCCCCTTTTTTGAGCTGACTTCCTTTCCCCCCCCAAAGCTACCTTTGTGTCCTTTTTGAAACCAAAAGTTTTTGGGAGACAAGAGTTGGACTGGGCCTTAAATCTGATTTTTTTTTGCATAGATTTTTGTTTGCTCACCTCCACACAACGGGGGAAAGCATTGGGTTCAAAGGCTCCACAAATTCCAGGTTGGAAATCTCAAACTGCAGAGAACCAGACGTCCAGGTCATTGTAACCACGAGAAGGCGAAACAGACCAATGTGGCAGAAAACCGACTCTTTTCTGATCCTGGTTGATCACAGTTTAATTTAAGAAGAAGATTCTGTCTGGAACTGCTGTTTCTGAGGCAAGGGCCCACGTATGTTTGTGCACTTCTGAGCATGCGCAAAGTGCATTTTCTTCACCATGGAGCACCGGCAGCTCATATGCAAGGCTAGGAGCCTAAGCGTCTTCATGTGCTGTGCTGGAAGCTTATACAGTGGTGCCTCGCTTAACGGCATTAATTCGTTCCAGCGAAATTGCTGTAGAGTGAAAACGTCGTAAAGCGAAATGAAAAAAACCCCATTGAAACGCATTGAAAACCGTTCAATGTGTTCCAATGGGCTGAAAAACTCACCGTCCAGCGAAGATCCTCCATAGGGGTGACCATTTTTGCTGCCTGTAGAGCAAGGAATCCATCCAAAAACACAACGGGGAGCCATTGTGAGCACCCGGCGACCATTTAGAAAACCCAACGAACAGCTGTTTTGATCGTCGTAATGCGAAGAATCAGTTCCCGAAGGAGGGAACCAATCTTCGCAAAGCAAAAAAAACCCGTTTAAAACATTGTTTTGCAATCGCAATTGCGATCGCAAAAACATCATCGTGAAGCGGATTCGTCGTTATATGGGGTAATCGTTAAGCGGGGCATGACTGTGCCCTGATCCATAAAGTCATTTCTTTATGATGGAATTGGTTTTGGAAAAACCTGTGCCATAAACTTCCCTGGAATTTCTTTTTCTAAGCATATCCTACCTCTTTGGCTTGTTCTGAGATAACAAACTATGCCGGCAATCTTTATGTACTGCCTAGAGGTATGAATAATAATAAGATGGTCCCAAGGAGAACTAAAATAGCCACAGTATTTTGTTGTGCATTTTTAAAAATGGCAACGTTTTTAACTAAAACATTTTTTTGGCTGCAATGATAACTAATACAATATCATCATCATCCTGTGCTATCAAGGAAATTCTGATTTACGGTGACTCCTTTCAGGGTTTTCCAGGTAGAGAAGACTCAGAAGTGGTTTACCGTTCTCTTCCTCTAGGGGGAGCCCTGGGACTGTGTGCAGCTGGCCCAAGGCGCCCCAGGCTGGCTCTTCTGGATCCAGAGGGGGGATTGAACTCCCAACCTCGGCCTAATGCCCTGAGCTATTCAGCCAGCTAGAGATATCTTGAAGGCCAAGACAAAACCTAGGAAAATAGAAGAGGAATCACCCCACCCCCACCCCCACCCCAGTTTCGAAGGGATGGGAGAGCCCAATCTTTCTTCTCTGTGCAGGTTGATGAGCCATGGCTTGCCACAGCTTTCTGCTGGAACCGATCACTTGCCACGCCTGGAACAAGGACAAGACTCGTAAGTCCCTCGGCGGCTAAGCTTTGTGGGATAGGCAGAGTCAAGGAAACGTGGGTTCTGGCGTGGAATAGGTGGGGGCGGAATTGTCCAGGGAGCCCAAAGGAGTGGACGTCTAGAGCCTTGTGCAAAGAGGTGTCCCTCACCAGAGGCAACCCGCCCAATCTGGGGCTGGATGATATTTTGGACAGCTGTTCCCATCCTCCTCAGCCAGCATAGCCAGAAGGGATGGGAGTTGTAGTCAGCAGGCAAAACCCAGCCACAGGCTGGAGCAATCTGGATCTTTTTAGACTTCCATGGATCTTGATGGCCTGTTGCTACACACGGAGAAGGGGAAACGAGGTCCCGGAGCCTCTGGTTTGTGGGGAGGCCGCTTTGGGTGGATTCCATACTTTTCATCTGCCATAACCGGGACACCATTCTTTGCTTGAAAAACCGACGTTCTTAGAACAAAACCAGCCCCGGAGGTCGATCAGGGTGGGGGTGCAGGAGAACAAGAGTTTGACTGTTGGATGCGCGGGTGGGGGGGAAATAGGGAGGAGGAGAAAGAGAGAGAATATGGGCTTTGTTCTTGGTCTCATGAAAAGCTCTAGCATGTACTTTCTTTCCCCCCCAGGGGTGCGGATCAGCCAGAACAGCTGTGCTTGTGTGCTTGTTCATGAGAATAAAACTTTTCTTTTGCTCTGGATGAGCATTCTAGGGAGCAAAAAAGAGGGAGAAGATGGGAGGCTTTAGGAGTGATCGGGGGGGGGGAATGCTCAGCACAGGGCTTTCTGTCCCTGCCAGGGTGGGTTCCACCTGTCGGGAGGACCCCTCGCCCCGGGCAGGACCACCAAGGGCCCCTTGAGCATCCACCCCCCATCCGCCCCTTTCCCCTCTTGCTTGTCTCCTTCTCCCCCACCCTCCTCCAGAGATCGCCATCTGCCCCAACAACCACGAAGTCCACATCTACAAGAAAGACGGGGCCAAGTGGAGCAAAATCCATGAGCTGAAGGAGCACAGCGGGCTGGTGACCGGTGAGTGTGCGCGGGGGAGTCGGGACCCCTCTCGGTGGAGGGGGCGTGGGAGAACCTCACCCTTCTTCGCTCTGGGCCTCTTCTGCCTTTCCGAACCGGGAGGGAAGCCGGGGCCCCCTCTGGAGCTCTCCAGCAAGCATTCCCGGACGGATCTCTCAGTGGGTGAACGAAGGCGGACTCCCAGCCGCAGGGCAAGCCAAACTCGCTTGTTTTCACGGTGCCGCAAGACCCGTTCTGGTTTCTCCTGTGGCCGTCTCATGAAGAGGGTGGTCTCTTTGTTTCGGTTACTGGATAATGTACAGGATGAGACCCCTGTCCTTGGGGGAACCTTCTTTGCTTATGGCTTTAATAGATTCTACAATCTAAATAAGAATAAGAATAATGTTGCCGTCCAGTTGATTTTTGACTTTCCAGGGCTTTCTAATTAGAGAATACACACATGTGGTTTTCCCTTCCCTTCCTCTAGGGCAGTGATACCCAACCTTGGGCTTCCAGATGTTCTTGGACTTCAACTCCCAGAAATCCTGGCCAGCAGAGGTGGTGGTGAAGGCTTCTGGGAGTTGTAGTCCAAGAACATCTGGAGGCCCAAGGTTGGGGACCACTGCTCTAGGGGGAGCCCTGGGATGGTGCAGCTGGCCCAAGGCCACCCAGGCTGGCTCTTTGCCCAGGAGGCACACGGGGGGGAGGGAATAGAACTCCCAACCAGCCAGTTGTGATCTACGCGTGTTTGTGTGTGTGTATAATGTGCCATCAAATCAGAACCAACGCACAGCGCTTTCAAGATAAGTGTAGGATTTAAGGAGCGATTCCACTTCCCCAGTGCTTTTCCATAGCCAAGCGAGGATCCGAACTCTGTTCTCCGTAGTTGTTGTCTGCTACACCACGCTGGGAATTTATGATCTCCACACATTATGTGTCGTGTCCCACAGTGCGGAGGAGGTGGTGGGGAATGTCATGGAGAAGTGTGCCCCCTGTTGGCCATTTTGTGGGATAGGTTTTGAGCCAATCCCTGCTTCTCAGCTTGGCCTATCGAAAAGCGCTGTTGTGAGGATCCAGAACGGGAAAGGATGAGACTTCCCAATCTCTAGGGTGAGATCTTTTTTGACCACCCGGCTAGTGGAAAAGGAGGAATTCTAGCTACTGGGTCTAAGGTTCCGAGTTTGAGAAAGGCACCGTTTTATAACTTGAGCCCTCTGGGATGTTGGCCAGGCATTGACTGGGCCCCCGAGAGCAACCGCATCGTGACCTGTGGAACAGACCGCAACGCCTACGTCTGGACCCTGAAGGGCAGCGTCTGGAAGCCCACGCTGGTCATCCTCCGGATCAACCGTGCGGCTCGCTGTGTGAAGTGGTCGCCCAAGGAGAACAAGTTTGCGGTGGGCAGCGGGTCCCGTCTCATCTCCATCTGCTATTTTGAGCAAGAGAACGACTGGTATGTTGGGAGAAATGAAAGTGGGGGGGATACTTATGGCAACCGTACAAATGAGTGACCTCCAGAAGGTCGTGTCCTCAGCAGGGCTCTTGTAAACTCAAGGCCAATGGCTTCTTTTAGGGAGTTGGCCCACCTCGTCCTTGGTCCTCCTCTACTCCTGCTGCCTTCCGCCTTTGCTAGCATTATTGTCTTTTCCAGAGAATCCTGCCTTCTCAGGAGGTCCCCAAAGTACGACAGCCTCCGTTCCAACATTTTGGCCTCCAGAGGGAGTTCAGGCTTGGTTTGATCATGACTTGGTTTGATCATGAAGGGGGGGGGTATTGCCTTTCATGGATTCCACCTGCTGCATCGACTGGAGTATTCCTATCCGGGGCCGGGGCAGCCAAAATCTACATAAGAACTGGATGAAGGAGACCAGCTATATAAACAAGAAGCCAGCAAAGGGGGAGCAGGAGTTTTAACTGATGCAGGAGGCCATGAACGAGGCGTCTGTGTCACTCTGTTTCATTCTTCATCTCTTTCTAGGTGGGTTTGCAAACATATTAAGAAGCCAATTCGGTCAACCATCCTCGCCCTGGACTGGCATCCCAACAATGTCCTTTTGGCATCCGGATCCAGCGATTTCAAATGCAGGTGAGCTTCCTTTGAAGCCTTCCGTTTTTCGAAAACCTCAGGAGCCACGTGCAAGGTGGCTTTCTCAGCATCCTGCTACCTGTTCAGCACCTTCTAAGCTGATTTATTTACCTGTCTCCAAATCTGAATTAAGATTCTATGTGTAATGGGGGAGTGGGAGTGTGATCCTTGAAATGAAAATTAGTGTGATAATGATGTATCAGGATTACTTAGTATTTTTTTATCCTACTGCTTAGCAAGAACTGAGCTGCTCCATTCAGGGCCAGATTCCACAGTGGCTATTTTGCTTCAGCTTCAAAACTGGTATCAGGCAAGAAAAAAAAAACATAAAGTGGAATAGAAAAAAAACTTACTTTTTAAATTATTGCTTTAGGAACATCTGTGCACGGATAGAGCAGGAAGCAAGCATTTCTAAACTTATTTATGGAAGCCCCTAGAGCGGAGTTTTTATGCATGCAAGGTCTTCCGACAGCCATTGTGGCGTCTTGATCTCTCTTGGGTCAGCTTCTTGGGTCAAGCAGAGAGCACTGAACAAGTTTCTGAGTGGGAGAGGTCGCCCTGTGTATCTGTGCCAAGCTACCTCTTCTGTCCCTAACAAGCAACGAGAAGTGACTTCAGAGGAAAGAAGTGTGCCTAAGAGTAGTGATGCGCCTGCAGACTTAGAAAAGACCAGCAAAAATAAACCTGGGCTGCCTTTTTGCCTACTGCCCTTTGTTTAGCTTATTTCCTACTGGCCTGGTGGCCCTATTTTGCCTGGAGTGTGTACGGATCTCTAAGGACTCCTTCGCCTTTCTCTCCATCCTCCTGCAGGATTTTCTCTGCCTACATCAAGGAGGTAGAAGAGCGACCTTCACCCACCCCTTGGGGATCCAAAATGCCCTTTGGGGAGCTCATGTTTGAGTCGAGCAGCAACTGCGGCTGGGTTCACAGCGTCTGCTTCTCTGAGAGCGGGAACCGCATCGCCTGGGTGGGACACAACAGCATCATCTGCCTGGCGGATGCTAACAAGAAGATGGCGTAAGTGTGTATGTGTATGTATGGGGGGGGGGAGGATGCAAGGAGCTTGCTGTCCTAGAAGAAGTGATTCGATGTTCCCCTCAAAGGTGCCTCTGTTTTGAGAAAAGAACAGGGAGGAGAGATAGGATAGAATTTTTTAAATACACAGAGGAGGGGGCAGGATCTGTTCTCGGTCATCCCCGAGTGCAGGACACGTCACAATGAGCTCAAGTGACAGGAAGCCCGATTTCAGTTGACTATCAGGAAAAACTTCTTAACTGTTAGAGCAGTACGACAATGGAGCCCATGACCTCAAGAAGTGGTGAGGGATCCAACCCAGGAAGCCTTCAAGAGAAAATTGGACTACCCTCTCTCTGATCTGCTTTGGCTTGGATCCCTGCCCTGTGCAGGGGGTTGGACTTAATGGCCTTACAGGCCCCTTCCAACACCATGATTCTGTTATTCTATCAGATCCCAAATCTCTCGGGTCGTGGAGGGGAGAACTCAGTGCTAATCAAGTACTTTTGCCTCCTTCTCTCCATCAGTGTGGCTTGCCTGTCCGCGGAAACGCTGCCCCTCCTGGCCGTAACCTTTATTACAGAGAGCAGCCTGGTGGCTGCGGTGAGTTATGCATTCTCTCGACCTTATTTCCTTTAGGAAGCCTGAAGACTGTGTTGAAATGCGCAGCAGTTGCATGGATGAGTTAATGTCTAATTTGGCCTTTAAATGACCCTCTTTTCCCTTCCCCACCCTGCTTATTTCTGTTACCAGTTGTCTGGAGAAGAGTCCTTGCCTTCTAATTCTTTATAAATTCTAGAGCTGGTAGAAGACAACGGCATTAAACACAGTTGGATCCCCATATCCGCAGAGGGTTGGTTTTAAGCCCCCACCACTGCCGATGCTGAAAATGTGGATTATAGCAAACACTATGTATAAGAGTAGTGAGTGCACGGTGTCTGGCTCCCTCTAGGGGCAAGTTTTAGTAACTTCATGGATCAGCGGATACTGATCCTGTGGATATGGGGGATCCTGTTGTATTCATTGTGTCCATGGCTTGCCTTACAGGGTTACTGTAATGCATGCATGAGAATGTTCCAGGGGTTAGGAAATTTACTTTTTTTGAAATACAGCTCCCATAATCTGTGTAGGGGATTCTGGCAGTTGTAGTCCCAAAGGAGGAACTTCTTGATGTTCTGGAGTACATGTGAAAGGTCCAGCCCTGCCATTTGGCAAAATGAGGTGGCTTGAGCTGAGCCTGCAGTAGGACAATTTGCAAAACACATCCCCGCACACTTTCCTTCAGGGCCACGACTGTTACCCAATGCTGTTCACCTATGACGAGCCGCAAGGTGTGCTGAATTTCGGAGGGAAGCTGGATGTCCCCAAGCAAAGCTCCCAGCGTGGCCTGACAGCTCGGGAGCGCTTCCAGAACCTGGATAAGAAGGCCAGCTCGGACACAGCCAGCGCCACTCTGGATACGCTCCATAAGAACAGCATCACGTGAGTGTGCATGTCGCTTTGGCTCCTTTGCAGGTTGGAAAAGAAAATCACCCTTGCAAAACCTCAGCTGCAGCTTTACAAGATAAATAAAGCCAGTCTTGCAGAACCTGAGTTGGTGAGACTCCATGCCATGGATTTTGAGACCTGCTCATGGTTTTCAGAGATGGCCTCCTTTTCTCTGAAGGCGAGGTTTTCATAGAGATAGAAAGGGCTACCCCGGAGAAGGCCCTGCTCATGGGAACCCCAGTCTGATAGGCTCTGAGCCATTCCCAGCTCGGTGTGATCTAGTGATCTCCAGCATCAATCACTGTAACACTCTCTATGTGGGGCTTCCCTGGAGGTTGACTCAGAGACTTCAGCAGGTCTAGGCAGCGGATCCCAAGCTGGTGGTGGGTGTGAATAAATCTGATCACGTCACCCCAGTCCTGGCTCGTCTGTACCGGTTCCCCATTGCGTCCCAGGTGAGGTTCAAGGTTCTGCTGCTTACCTACGAAGCTCTCCATGGTTTGGACCCTGCTACCTGGTGGAGCACCTTTCCCCCCCAGAACATTGACCCAGGCCACCAGAACATAAATGAGAAGCAGAGGAAATACCGAAGCCAGGATCCTCCAGGTGGCACTCCAGTTAGGCCTTCTCGGTGGTGGCACTGGCCCTTTGGAATCAACTTCCAGTTGAGCTGTGTCTGCCTCCCCCTCATGCCTATTGTTTGCTCCTTTATTTGGTTTACTGCCGAGAATATAACGCATTTCCCAAACGGGACAGTATATAAATGAAATAAATAAGATGTCGGTTCCCATCTCTCTCTTTTCAGCCAAATATCTGTGATTGGTGGAGGAAAAGGAAAGGCCTCCAAATTTTGCACCACGGGAATGGATGGTGCCATGTGTATCTGGGACATCAAGGTAAGTGATGGGATCTGGTCCAGTGTCTACTTGAGAGGTCATCGGCTCAAGCCAGAACACCATAAAGGGCCTAACGTGTGGGTCCCATTGGGTGGGTTCGTCAAAGAAAGCAACGTGAGAATCACAAGATTCCATCTTCCTGGATGAAAGGGGAAACCCCGGTTTCCAACTTGAATGGCAACGCGGCAGGCAACGGAGAAGGGGTCAGATCCCCCCAAATGAGAAGCAGAGGAAATTAATTTTTCCCTTTCTCCCTTTCCACGTTCATTCTAGCTTTCACTCACAATAGCAATTGCCGTTCTGATTTCCAGAGACTGGGGGGGAAAACCTCACACCGTTGGCCTCTTAGACCCACATGGAGGCAGCTTTGCCTCTGTTGCGAGCATCTCCCAACCCTCAGCCGCTTTCTGTTGCCTACGCCAAGAACACCAACCCTGCCCTCCTCTTGATCGCTTCCCGTTTTTGTCTTCCCAGAGCTTGGAGTCGGCCATGAAGGACCTCCGCATCAAGTGAGCGGCTGGGGAAAACGCAGCCACCTTTCTCCCTGCCTTGAGTCCAGGAAGAAGGACCCCGTGGCTTCTTTTGCTGACACTCTTTGCTCCCTCCCTGCGGCCCAGCAAAGCTAGCCAGACAAGGATGGCCGCTACAAGCTTTGTTGTTTGCTTCTGCCACATGGGCAAAGGAATAAAAGACACAAAATATGCTGGTCATAGTTTTGCAAAACTGCTGTTTTTTTCTCTCCCCCATTCAAGAAATACAAGGGCTGCCTTTCAGCCTCCTTTCCCTGCTCCCTGAAGGCAGACCATCAGCGTGGCAGGCAAAGGACCAGGGTGGAACTGTTCCTGAGGGACTAGATGTCTTCTCTGCCAGGAGGTCTTTGATTCTAACCAGTCCATTCTCCTAAACGAGGAAACGATTCCACCTTGGCATCTTCTACGTGGGCTCATTCTTGGTCTGCAACTCCCAAAAACCCTGGCCAGCAGAGCGGGTGGTGAAGGCTTCTGGGGGTTGCAGTCCAAGAACATCTGGATTAGCCAAGGTTGGGAACCATTTGCCTTGTAACAGTCAGTTGAGTCTCTTGCCTCTCCCAAATCCTTTGCCCTGTGCTCTCGTACTTTTTCTTCTGGGCGGCAGAAAGCTGATTTCTCTTAAGAGTGATGTGCAGAAAGGGAAGCAGAAAAGGGTCTACGTGTTTCCTCCAAGCCACTCATTTCTCCCTGTTTGCAATACAGTGCAAACATAATTGCTTTGCAATTAAAGGCAGACTTTCCCAGGGTTTCCTGGGTACAAAGCACTCGGGAGCGGTTGAGCAGTTCCTCCTTCCAGTGATACTCAGGGGCCGTACAGCTTTGCCCAAGGCTACACAGATGGACGGGCACGTACACCGCATCTGCACACCTGCTCCCGGCTGGCTTCTCTCCTGGACGACACGAAGGGGATGTGATAGTCCAGTGCTCCAACCCACTGAGCCACACCAGGACGAATCGAGCACTTGAACTCACCATAAAAATCTCCCCCACCCACCCCTCCTTGAACACACCTCTTCCTCTTTCTTTTAAGCACAACAACACACTTTAGTGCAAGTTGTGGCTCCTGCTTGGAGAGACACCGGCCAAGGGTCGCTCCTGGCCCCAAGTTCAACCCTTTCCCCACAGAAAACAGAAGCTCAGACACTTGGTAGGAGGCAGTAAAAGAAAAAATATTACGATCTCGGAGAAAGACAGGGTGGCCTCAGCCATGCAGTCCCCCCCCGCCCTCTCTCCACTGCATGCTGTTCGAAGACCAAAACTCCACACTACGTTTCTGAAGAGGGTGTGTGTGATGTGATGATTTAGGCTAACTGCTGTAGGTGAAAGGCAGCATCATATTTTGGGGGGGAAGGGACTGGTGTCTGCAGTGGGCACCCGACTGCCTTGACAGACTACGAGAACCAAGACTTTACGATAATTTAAACTTTATTCAGCCAAATATACAAGTTTCGTTTTACAATCTGCCTTGGTTTCAACCTGCGGCGCATATCAAGAGAGTTTGCTGGTTGCGCTTCCCGCTGTCGCCAAGTCACTATCCCTTTTCGGAGGAGAAGGAAAGCGATTCAGGGTGGCTTTAAGAACAAAACAAAACCAAAAAAGCAGTACGGGGTGGGTGGGAGGGATGCAAAACGGTAATGAAGACCAAAATGGCCACACAGTTAGGGTCCGATTCCTGTTTCCTTCCTTGCTCTGCAGCATTATCCTGTGGGGCTGTTGCACAAACTCCCTCATTACTTTGGATTTTTATCTGGATGCCATGGCTCCCAAACCCCCTGCCTTCCTTCCATTTAGCTGAAGGGTCTTCCCTCCACCCACACCCTCCCGAAAGCATTTTCCGGGACTGAACGGCTGTCAATCTAAGCACAGCAAAGCCGTTCCCGTTTACAGTATTATTCCTCCCAACGGTTCCACGGAAGATTGCAGTCCTTCCTACTTCTGCGCAAAAATATTAACGACTCCCCTAATCCATTTTCCCCACCCCATCCCCGGCTCTCCTTCCCCCTACGTTCTTCATCCCACCCCACTCCCCTTCCCTCCCTCCCCATGGAATCTTGCACCCAGATGAAGACAAACAGGTTGCTGTCAGTGTGTCTCTTATAAAGGTGTGGCAACAAGGCTGGGGGGCGGCTGCCAGGCTCCCCCACCCCACGGCCTCTCAGGGATGTGATGCCGCCGAGCGCTCAGCCAGGCCCCGGCTCCAGGAATTCAATCCTCACCGGGCGGCCAACCTTTACTTGTTCAGGGACAGCGACTGCAATCTTTTGCCTGCCGAAGCTGCTTCGAGAAACAGATCTGAAAGCAGCTGGGTTGCAGAAGATGGCTTACCTGCCCTTCTGAAGGAGATCTGTTTATTTATTTACACGCTTATCCCACCCATTACCCAAGGCCATGAACAGAGCAATATCAAAATAACCTACTGTATTTTTCCATGTATAAGACTATACTTTTGTCTAAAATCTTTGGACTAAAAATTGAAGGTCGTCTTATACACAGAAGTAAGCTGAGGAGAGAAAAAAAACAAGTGGAGGGGAAAGCAGGGATCAAAGCGATCCTGCAGCGCTTTGATCCCTTTCCCCCTGCCCTTGCTAAGCCCCACTTAGGTTTCTTAATTTTGGATTAGAAAAGTGGGGGGCGTCTTATACACAGGGGTGTCTTATACACAGAAAAATATGGTACTAACAGGAATAAAAGCAACAGCAACAAACTTTTTAGAAAAGGGACAATGGCAAGCATGATCCTTCAAAGGACAATAACATTAAGCAGAGAAAAATTACAATAGATTAGACTGGCACAGAGAAGCATACCACTCAGAATGGAATGAGTGAAAAAAAAATTAACCAAAATGAATTAAAAACGATCAAGCATTCACATAAAAAGTTTACATAAAAAATAAATTTAAAAAAAATCAGAACTCATGGTAGGAGCAGACTTTGGCTAATTTAATTTTTTGGACTGCAACACCACGAGCAACGTTGGTGGAGCTTGAGCACCCAACTTATAACTCTGAGCCCTGCCACAGGTGGCATCCAGTCTCTATTTGTTAAAGCACAAATAGGAATCGCCAGGCAGGGTTGGCAAAGACCCTTCTTTGAGACCCTGGAGAGCAGCTGCCGGCCAAGACTGAGAAAACTGACCCACCTAAGCTAACTTTTTGAGACGACCTGGTATCTAGCTAGACTCTTGGGTTCCTAGACGAGGCAGGAAGAAGGGGTAGAGAGAGGTGCCCGGAGGCGCCACTGGGGGACGAACCCGACACCTATTCCACGTATTTGTGGGCATCCTTACCTTTTCTTTCTTCCTCTTTCTTTTTGGCCGCCTCTTCCCTCTGTTTGCGGATGATGGCTAGTCGGGCGAGGTCTGCCTTGGCCTGTTCCGTTTTACCCGCAAGGTGCATCTTCATGTACCTCTCTTTCGCCTTCTGTTTCTCAATTTCTTCTCTGCAAAAAGAACCGAAGGAGGGAGGGAGGAAGAGAGAAGAGGGAGGTTTGTCCCTGTTCAGACAGACACCGATGGGATGCGTGGGTGTTTCTTTCCCCTCTGCAAACAGACACCAGGGCAGTTCAAGAAGCAAAAGGTGTCAGAGGCAGATAAAAACCATACAAGCACCTTCCCGAGGCATCTAAGGTGCGCGGGAAGGCGCAAATCCTAACAGATGTCTTTTTAAAGATAATTTTTAAATATCTACTTGGCTTTAATTATCCAGTTGTATTTTAATTAGCATATAGTTTAACATTTCTTTAATGTTTAACATGGTGTTTTTACTTCTATTCTTTTTAATATTGTGAGCCGCCTTGCCCCCCCCCCCTTTTGGAGAAAGGCGGCCTCTAAATAAAACAAAGAAACAAATAATTAAACTTAGGAAAAGGAGACCTTGACACGCTCTTGCCCCCTCCTGGAAGACCCGATCTTACCGTTCTCTCCGTGATAGTTCCCGTGGGCTCTCCAGATCAATCTGAGTTACTTTTTTGGCCGCCTGGGCAACGCGATTCGGGTTCTCTATATCTATAATGCCTTCTACGCCTTTGTGCTTTGGCTGTAACAGAAGAACACAGTGACCCACACGGTGTCCAGAGCATGCAGTATACAAAACGTAGTGCATTTTATGCCAGAAAGCCCTTTCCCTCCTCCTCCCTTCCCCTCAAGACTCATTCAAGACAACTATGGCCAAAATATGATCCTTCCAAACCACGCTGTCTGTGCCTCCCAAAGCAGATGGGGCTGGAGAAAGTCCACCCTTCCACGCTGATGCCACAGAAGTGGCACAAGGAGCCTCTGCTCTTCCCACAACACATATGCCCATTCAAGAGGAAACAGTCTTAAGAAAGAGATTAAAGCCACAAGTCCTGCCTCCCCCACTAACACTGCAGAGGGGTAAGAAACGTGGACCCCCAGACCGCACGCAGAGGTAGAGAAAGTAGGCTGCAGGGGAGCAGGACTTTCAAACAGTCAGCGTTTCATTCTTACTACAATTCCCAGAATCTACCGGCCACCGTGGCCCATGGGACTGGCAGTCCAGGCTCTACAGAACAGCAGCTTTCGGATGTAGCCCATCCATCACCTTAAACTCGGCAACACTTCATGGAAATGAAATGAGAAAAGTCCCCTTCATTTGGCTTCAGGGAGGCTACTCCAAACCTCTGATAGGAAGCAGCTTGCAAGTGGAGCCTCAGAAAACTCACGGTGAAATGTGACCCGGTCATCCTGAGCCTCCGTTCTCGGGGGAACAGAAGAAACATCTCATGAGTACCTGGTAGTCTTCGTCCTCTTCCTCCTCCTCGCTGTCATCTGAGTCTAGGGATTTCTCCTTCTTTTTTGGGTCACTCGCGGCCCCATCACCTGCTTCCGCTTCCTCCTCCTCTTCCTGTGGAAATGAAAATAAATTACTAGGGCTCTCTGTGTGTGTGTGAATGAATGAATGAGAGAGAGAGAGAGAGACAGACAGAGGCAGCAGAACCAGAGTGGTGGGTTCAAGCTCACTGGGTGACCCAAGGCTCCTTAGGCTGGATGGCTCAGTGGTTTAGACATCTGGCTGTGAAGCCAGAGTTTGGGAGTTCGATTTCTCCTGTCCCCCGGGGCCTCCCAGGAAAAGAGCCAGCCTGGGTGGCCTTGGGCCACTACATGGCAGCTCTCTTGCCCCATTGGTCAGGAAGAGAGAGCAGGGCTAAATTCTGCTGTTTTATGGCCTCCACAAATAAACATCCACCACTGCAACAGAGTTCATGCAAGGGCAGCGAAACCCACTGGATACAGGCTGTAAGGTGGCTAAGAGAACAAAGGGAAAAGAAAACGGAAAATACTTGTATATTTGGGAGTCTTTGGAGTTGAGGGATAAAACGAAAACTGGGGGACTATGTATATCGCTTTGAACTCCCTGGAGAAAAGATAGGCTCTGACTGTCACAGACACATGTCATGGATGTGTTGTCTGCCTTTGCCCACCTTGAGGTTGCTATGATAACTGATTTAATATTTATTATGTGCAATTGTACTTGTTTTCTAACTGTACTGTAAATCTCTTTGCCTCTCAGTGTCTGGGGAAAAGGTCAAGAAAACAAGTAAATGAACACGGCTACATGATCTACATGAGGAACTCTGTGGCTGGACAGACACTGTGAGTTCATGTGTATTCCTGTCCTGGGTGATAGAGTGTAATCTGAGTTGCAAAAAGCTTTGGTAATCTGATATGATAGCGATCTAGGGCTCTGTAACTTGGGTATGACTATTCTAAACAGACCAACAAGGCCTGGCTGGTAACCTTAACTACCCCAAAGGGCCGTGGTGAGGATCAAAATGGGGAAAGGAGGGGCCAAAAAGGACTCCTTAATCTCGTGGGAAGAAAGATAATGAATAAATAAGAATGGTCTCCATTTCCAAGATGGGTTACCGGGAAACACAGCAAGCTGGCCGTCTACTGAGCCAGATCTCCAGTTTATCAGGTCCAGTGTTGTCAAGTGGGATAGGAAGCAACGTCTCCCCAGAGCATCAGAAAACATTCCTTCCCAACTCTAACTGGAGAGGCACTTGGCATTCCCTGGTCCTCTGCCGTCTAAATGTTGGCTGGGCTTAACGTCTAAACTCAGACAAGGTTGGGGGTTTTGGGAGAGCACAAAAGGGAGAGAGAAGCGAGAGGACCCGACGCGTTTTCGTCCAAGACCAGAACGGCGAAAGCCTCATCCATAGTTCAGCTGCCGGTCAGTTCTTCAGATGAGCCCCCCCCCCTCCTTCCTTCCATCCGCCGGCCGGAAAAGACTCACCTTGGCCTTCTGTTTCTCTGCTTGGAGCTGGGCATCAATCTCCTCCGGGCTTGTGTACTGCCGCACTCGGCCTTTGTGGCCTCCTTTTTTACCTGCCAGGAAAGAGCTGACTTAGGAGGGAAGTGAGGCATTTAAAGTGTGGCTTCCTTGGCTGAGTGAGGATTTGAACCCAGATCCCCTGAGTCCTAGCCCATCACTCTGTCCATTACACCACAAACGCATGCCAGGTTCGCAGATACGAGACAACACCTAGGAACACATGCTGGGATGGAGGGCAAATACTGGGTCATTGTCTCTGAAAAACAACTATTTCAGATGGTTCCATGTTGCCTTGTCTTCTTTCTGGTCTGCTGTGGACAGCCAAGCCAAAAAAAATATTTTTAAAAAAGAGCTAAATGAACCAAACTGGAGTAAATTCCAAAACCCATACTGGGTTTATCAAACCAATGGAAAAGGAGCAGAAAAGGGGGTGTAAGCTTTCACGATTACTGTCTCGTCAGGCAAGAGGGGGAGGCAATAAGGGGAAACTTAAAATTAAGTCCTTATCAGCTACATGTTGTCTTGATGTCAAGATGGAGAAGGAAGACTTTTACAGACAATAAAATGGGCTTCATTATAGCTGATACAACGGTGTCAGGTATCACCAAGGGGCAGATTGTCCAGAGGAAATTAAAGGAAAATCTGGCTGGATGATCAGATCAGAAGGGCATCTTAGTTAGTGGATACTTCTGTTTGCAACACTTACCCACCAAACAAGCCTCTTGGGAATCCCAATGAGGACGCAAAAAGTCCACTGCTCTTCACCATTTGACCATCTTACACACTATGCAATTTAATAAATATCCTTTGTTTCTGCCTCACACCACTTTTTTTTGAGGCTAAAAAGCCCCAACCCCTGAACTCGCTCCATATTGGTGGGAACAAAACCCATCCTCCACCTATAAAACACAGAACCTTCACTAGGGGTGGTCCACTTGCATGTCTACAAAAGTCATTTATCTACAAGAAGTTTGATCAGTTTACCCACGTGGACGTACATTTGCTGTATACACCAAATGAAGATTTGGAAGAGGCAGGAGAGAGAGATTCTCCTTAGCCTAATTTACAAAAACTCTTATTTCGTATATCGTGTTGCAATTCTTACTTAGACAGAAAAAGAGAAGAGCAGCCAACTTGAATTCTAACAGAGGCCACTAAACAGCGGTGGTCCTTCGAGAGAGAAATCAAAGCCTTACGAAAGCCACCTATTAGTGCAAATCATTGTAATGCTGAGCAAGAGACAAGAACCACTTAAACCACAGGACGTACACAGAAGGGCCTCCTGATAACGTTTGTTCAATAGCAAGCTTGGAATTAACAGAGCTCGGGAAAGGATTTATGTCTGCACCGAATATGAAAGCATGCATCCAAACCATCTGTTTGGGCAAACAGCTGACATGTCAAAAGCAGCTGTTAATCAAACAGGACACTCCGAGTGACGCTTATGTAGGTGGGAGAAACATTTCTAATCTAATTTTCCCCCTAACTGTCGTTTGGGAACCACGCGGTCACCGGTCCTGTTTTAAACCCACTCGCCTCGCTTGTTCACTCCGGGCCACGCCTGCGGTCCTGAGAAAGAGCCACGTGGTTTAGCTTTCTTTCTGGATAACTTCCTGCCTTGTGGATGATCCTCGCCAGCTGTCTCTTGCTCCTTGAAACCATGGATTTGAGCACTCCCTCCCTCGCCCCCCCCCAAACGGGAGATGCTCTGACTAAAAGGGAAGCTGGCATGCAGGAAAAGGGATCTTGGCAGCTGCCCAAACAGGGTGTGGTGGAGTGGCTGCAGACTGACTCACAAACCCTCCCTTCCCCAAGGGTCCCCCCCCCTCGGTTGCCAGGCACACAACGATGAGAGCTGGCTTCCCTGCTCTGCGGGACAAGCTCAGTCATGCTCCCAGCTGCACGAAAACCATCAATCTGCAACCTTCTCTTCTCCAACCACTAGATCCCCCTTTCCTTTGCTCCAAACTGGCGAGGATATACATTCCATCTACCCATCCTTCACTCTGCTTGCTCATTTGTTCCACTTCAGACTCTGAATAATACATTACGGACTCTGTTCATTCAGATAAGGTAGACTATTCTGAATATGAACTACGGACACTTTTAAATGTCTATCAAATCACTTAAGCCAGTGTAGCCGCAACTAATACCAACGTGTGTTCCGTGAGCGCCACTGCCGATTGCTTCACTACTTTGATAAGCAAAAATAGCAAAGTATGCTGCTTACAGAAGTCTCTGGGCAGTTTAAAGTTTAATTATGCAGGCTACACCTTGCCCTGCCAGCAAGCTGGGTACTCAGTTTACCAACTTTGAAAGGATGGAAGCCTACAGTAAATCTGGCTTCCTGTAGATTAAGCCCATCATTACATGTCTGGAACTCTGGAATGAACATGTAGGTGTTCATGTGGACGTTTCTGGGCAGCTAACACATCCTGGATGCTGACTGATACTACCTAGCAGGTTCTCACTCCCTTTATTTTTGGCTAATAAAAGACAGATCAAAGATGGAGAGTGCGTCGTCTTCCAAATGTTGCTGAACCAGAAGTCTTGCTGTTCCGCAGCATTGATTACGTGAACAAGCCTTGCTGGGAGCTGCAGTTCAACAGTATCTGGACAGCTACGTTTACTTTTTAAAGTAAATTTGCCCTTTTAAGGCTTTCAGAACCATGGGAAGAGTAATTCTCCAACTGGAGCTCATCCAGACATTTTGGGCCACACGGCTCGTCATCCTGAACTCATAGTTCTGCTGGCTGAGGCTGATACAGCAGCATTTTCCCTCCAACCGTTGCTGGCCAGAAATAAGACAAAAGACTACCATTTATTTCCAGCACTGGGAACATGCTTCAGAACTGCATGATCAGATGTTCCCACAAATAAACAAAATCACCCTTCATCGGGGAAATACTTTAAACCCTACATTTATGCCAGAATATTTAGCTTTCCACCTCTGTGATTCTGGGGGAACTCGCTAATCACATTTGATGCTGAATGTCTACTAATAAACTTGGGCTTTACTAACCTAACCAAAAGGATTGTGAACAACATTCAGATGAAAACAAACAAAAAAGTATACCCTGAAACACTAGAAGTCTTAAGGTTTTTAGGAGAATAAGAATCCTCTTAACACCATTATAAAATAAAACACTCTTGATCTGGTACCAGAAAAAGAAAAGTCATTATAACAATCATTCTTTGTGTGTGTGTGTGTGAGAGAGAGAGAGAGCGAGAGAGAGAGAGAGGTGTGTGAGTGAGAGAGAGATGGGTAACAGAGAACACAGCCTGTACTAATACAGAATAGGCAGGTTCATATAAGATGAGTTTGTCTTTTTAACAATTCTGGGTTTAGGCCACTTAGAGCTTTAAAAGCGTAGGCAGGGCTTTTAACAGACCCCCCTCCACTGCTACTGGGCATCAAAACTAGCACTCTCAGAAGGAACAATAGCAGGATGGGATGGAGACCACATGGATGACCATTATTAAGGCAGCACTTGTTCTAACACAGATGACAGGAAACCTTATTATCCTGTACCCGGGCCCTGGCGAGGAGGCAAAAGGGGGGGGGGCAGTGAGAAGGGGCAGGTCTCTCCTGCTGCCTCTTGCAGGGGAGGGGGTTCCATCTGGCCCCGATCCAGGCACTTTCCCACCGCCTGTGGAGAGAGCAGGCCCTGAGCCAGAACCTCTGGCAGCTCTCCACGTGGGGAAGAGACCTTCCCTGAGCTCCATCTGGTTTGCCTGAATCCAGCCCGGGGTGCGAGCACGTGGCTCCTTCGCCCAGCCAAGGCAGGCGCCGGTTCTCTTCCCCCCCCCCACTTGAGATGCCATCTTTAAAACACTACAGGAGCCTTTGATCTGATGAAACACGGAGGTGGCTTGCATGTGTGGAGGGGAAAGGAAGCGTTCAGGGCTTGGGGGACCCGTCTAACCCCCTTCTCCTGTCTCTACCCCCCCACACACACGTAAACACGGGCCAAATCAAATGAGACTTTGCCAGTTCACCTGGCAGATCCAACCCCTTTCATATTTCGCACCCACAAAGACACTTTTCTCTCCCCCCCCTTTTCAATTCCCTTCCTCTTCACATTACACTGGTGAGATTTTTTTTGGGGGGGG